ATTATTATATATATATATATATTATTTAATAAAAATATAATAAATTGAAATAATCATGAAAATTATTAATTTAATTAATATTTTTTAAAGAATAAAATTATTTATTTGAAGAAATTCAGATGTAAAAATTTATTAATTTTTTTTATTTATTTTTTGATATATTCAGGAGAAGGAAGACAGCATTTTAATGAGGAAAAATAAAGATAAAATTTAAGAAAAATTGTTAATAATTTTCAAGAACTTACTTATAATATTAAAAGTAAATGTAATTATTAAATGATGCGACAAATGAGTATAGTAAAGAAGTCATTAAACACTTTTATTACAGAAAACCAAGCTATAATAGTCACAATCTCACTTAACTAAAACATTACTGTCCATATGAATAATAATTATTTAAAATATAGAGTGCTGAAACCATAAATAAACAACATCGAATAAAAATTATTAAAACAAATGACATGCGAATGTAGCAGTTTACACGCTCTCGCACACGAGACCAATATCGTGGACAATAAAATAAAAAGTAAAATATATGCATACATGTGAAGTGTGTCCAAGTCCAACTGCGTCTGCATGCATGATGCATTCAACGCTTGAATTAATGCATATGGCTACGTAGCAACCACTTCTCTATGCGTCATTTTCTCTTTCGTGTCGTTCATACATATTCCTTTTACACTAAAGTAGTAATTAACCCTCGAGATTAAAGTCATATTCATAAGAAAACTACCATATAAAATTAACCTAATCAACGAGTAATCAGATTAATTGGTTAACAAAACAGTACAACAATTTCATCGAATTAAAGTGGAGGAAAAAAGTCAGAGAAATTACGTGGTGGGATGGAGATCATCGAATACGACATACATTGTACATTGTACCATCATAATCAATTCAAAATATATGTACATGTATATCGAAACCAAACCACTATGCTTACAGACAAATAATAATTAGCATTGAATAATATTATTTTTATCAATATTTTAAGATTTTGTCATAAACTAATATGAAACAAATCATTGTTTTCCGCAAAAATGAAACTCGAACACAGCATGAAGGATTGAATAATTAATATATACTAAGGTTCGCTTTCTCATATAAGATATATAGACCGTGCAATCCAAGCATAGATAATTTGGTTGTGCATTTTACGTCAACAACTTCCATAAATATGCATGCACGAGTAACATACCATGATATATATGTTGATATCTCTGTGTCACTATGACTTAATACACGGCAACCACAAATACATATATAACCCATAGTTTTTTTTTTTTTTTTCTTTCTCCATTTTAATTACCTTTTTTATAATATATGTTTAGCATGTCGCTTTCCATAGTGGATGGATCGTGCACAGTGGCTAGATAAGGTTGGTTTTGTCGGCGAACATTATATGTTCTTTATGTTAAATATATATATACACATATATATCTCTATGCTCTAATAAAGGTGCCTAAACTTTGCATTATGAGAAAAAGAAAATAAATGTGCTGGAATAATTATTCTTTGATATTGCTGACGTCAAGAAGACGTGTGCACAGTCCAAATATCATTCGATGAAATTGAAAGACTGTTGGTGAATCGTATGCGCACGATAACACTTGTAGCCATGTCATGGTCAACAAATATAGGGTTCGTCTAAAAGGGGAATTAAAAGGGAAATATTTGTATTTTGTTGGTTTGACGTAAAACCTTTTTATTTTAGAAAAAGATGAGTTAATGTGAGAATTGTAGGTGTTTAGAATGGTTTAATTTTAAGGTTTTTTATATTTTATTTTTTAATTCTGTGAGGTAATTTTTAAAAATCCAATTATTATGTTTGAAAATTTATATAAACTCAATATGGTATAAGAGTTTATTTATGTAGATAAAATAAATTAATGGAAATTTCACATTAATAAACAAAATGTCAATTTATTATTGAACTTGATGTGATTGGTTAGTTTTATTCCTGAGATAAAAAAAAAAAAAAAATAGCAAATTTAATCCTTAACTTTAATAGCCGTCAAACAATTTGATTTTCTACCATTAAAAAAATGTTTAACCCGTTCTTTATTATCTAACGATTAATTGTTCTTAATTAGTATACTTCATTTTTTACCTTCTTATTAATTGATGATTATTAAAGTGACTGTTTTGTTAAAGTTATGAATTAAATTAATTGAAAAAATTATTATTTTGAAAGAGAAAATTTCAAAAATATTAAAATTAAAGACTAATTTTACTTTTGCATCACGGCTGATTTGACGATTACAAGTTTGGTAGACTAATTGACATCTCACTCTTAATAAAAGCTAAAGTAATTGATTAGGTGATTTAAAAGCAGATAATTGTTTAATTCTTTTTTCAGAAAAAGAAATTGTTAGGTTCTATGGAGTACAAAAACCAATCTGAAACCATGTTAAATATTATTCAAGCAAACAAACTTATTATACAAATTAATATCAATTTATAATTGCATAATAATATAAAAACACCTTTTTTATGTTAGTACTTACACCATTTACTATAAAAATAAATTAGTTTCTTTTTTCAGCTTGCTTGCTTGGATAAAGCTGGCTCCAAATGTAGAATCGGCTCTCCCACTGCGAAATCTTCAAACCTTCATTTTTGAATTTTTGGTGCATATAGCTCTAACTGCAAAACATACATAATGTCTAATATATAAAGAAAAAAGGAAAACATTTTATTGCCCTAGCTGGTTCTAGATAAGGAAAATATTGTGCACTAGATGGCACAACAAAAAATTATTTTCCTTAATTTGGAGGTTGGCTTTTCAAATATGGGAAAAAAAATAAAAATGAAATGAAGTTAATTATTTACTATATGACACACAATGGCAATTTTTAAATGTTGAAATAATGGAAGCCCCTTAACCAAACAACAAAAGCTAACTGCTAAAAAGGAACTAACATTTTAAATTGACAATTGTTGTGTGCTTGGTTTTAAAGGTTTGATTTCATCTCAAGAATTAACACTTGGATTGGAGTTGTCTTGGTGGAGAAGGGGAAAAGAGATGAATGTGTCATAGAATCTAAGACTGAATACATACATAAGCTGAGTCAAATACATAAAATGTTTATAGCCTCTTGAAGAAGCTGTACATCACACAAAAGCTACATAGAGCCACCCAAATTCAGCAAGAGTCACTCACGCCTCATAGGTTACTACCGCCCTATCGTCATCTCTTCCGCCGTTTCGGCTCCACCTGCAAATTCAAATTTTAATTCTAATGATACCACACTCCAAACAAACATGTAGAACTTGCTAAAGAATGAATAAACTCTCCAACCACCGATCTCTTTGAAAATTTTCAGTAAAATTATAGATCGTCTATCTCATTCCAAGCACAAGTCTATATGGAAAAATATAACAAAGAGAAAGATCAATTCGATTTCCAGATCCTAGCTAGTAAGAATAAATGAACTTAACCAACTCTGCTGCTCTAGTAGAGCTCAAGGTTATAATACAACTCTATCATTTTTATTTATTGGTTTCACAAGTTTGTACATGAAACATTAAATAACCATTATAAGGCCATTATAACCCTAAGGTTTTCTCAATCCATCCCCCATAGACAATTTGTGAAAGGCTACATGCTACGGTGTGTTTATAAAAAACAGTGAAAAAAAAAATAAAGAGTTGTATTCATTGTTAACTACAGAAATATTTGAATACATGAAACGAAGTAAAAATAAAGTAACATTTTTGTAATTTAAAGTGAAAATAGAAAATAAAAATTTTACAAATCACCACTCTAATGGTAGCTACCAAAAAGACACTAAGCATCGTGCTTAACAGATTAACAAGGAAGCACAGATTAACAAGGACAGAAATTGGTCCTCAAAGCTACTACCGTCTGTACGGCAGTTAAAAGTAAAAGAAATCTAAAACAAATATATAACTAGAGATATGTGCTTAAGAAAGACTTAGTTTACTAGAAGACCTTACATGATTCAACTATCACTTCAAATTCAGCAGTTCCATTAGTAGAAAATGCACCAATCACAAAAGTACAGAAATTGAAGAATGTCAACCTTATAGAACTTTAATGCAGACACTTATTTCAAACAAATGCAATCATATTTCTTTACACAACACAGATAGAGACCGAATACAATCGTACAATCTTCATTTTATAACCTCAAAACACATAGATTGGTAAACATTTTATTGTTTTTTAAAAAAAAATAAAATGTATACGCAACTAAAATTGCTTATAATGGGTTTGAACTGGCTTTTAAAATAAGGTTATTATATATACTTTTTCATAGGATTGTTTTATTATTATTTTCCCTAGAAGAGAACTTTGCTCATGTTTCGTCTCCAACACTTAAATGTGAATTTGTCAACAAAATAAAACGATGTTTCTTTGTAGCATAAGAGTTATCTCCTACTTATATATACTATTTTAGTCATCACTAATCAATGTAGAATCTCCAACACATTTCCTCATGCCAAGAATTAAACATTTTGGAACTAAAATTTGCAAATCTAGACATTTACTAGCTGTCTGATGGAAGATGGCTTAAGTCCAACAACTATTGGAAAAGACATTAATACCATCTCAACCCCACTTATATATATATATATATATATATATATATATATATATATATATATATATCTATATATATATATATATGTGTGTGTGTGCGTGTGCGCGCTATTTTGGTCATACTATTAATCATTGTGGGATCTCTAACAAAATTCATATTTGAACTACATACCGTATACAAATTTGTAAACCTATTCAAACAAAGAACAACTTAATGCCACTTAAAATAAATACAACGGTACTGGATGATATAAATTATGTATTTATCAAATAAGAACCTTGAAAAACAGTAGCTTATTAAACGATAAGTAATGGTTATGTCATGGCTTCAACGATCTTATGTTCACTTCTCATAGATTCCTCAAGAGGCTAGTTAGATCACAAAAATATTCTATTGATAATTAGCAATAAATCTAGATGAATATGAAAATAAATAAATAAATAAAATAACATAAACATCAGTAGCAGAATAGCCATCAATCTAAGCTCCATATTAACTTCAGCCTACCATAAAAGAGACATAACGAGGATCAAATTACATGCATCAGAAATAACACCATTGTGCAGCTCCCCTAGTAAAAAAATCTAAATTTATTAAAATTATGACACTGGATTTTCATGGCACAATCAAAACTATGAACACATTAGCCAAGACAAAATTTAGTCAAAACCGCATTACAAGAGGCATGCAAGAAGAAACTTAGTTTTACAACACTTAAATGTGAATTTGTCAACAAAATAGAACGATGTTTCTTTAAATTACTGATATACAAATAAAAATAATAATGGAAACAAGATCACCCACAAGGAAATTCCCGACCAGTGAGTCCACCATTAGAGAATGAGTTTAGTTATTATAGAATTGGTGCCAGTATGTATTTCACTTGTAACTACCACAAATATTTTAGCTTTAATAAAATTTGGATTGTTAAGCATGTTTTTTAATCTGAGTATTAGTTTTTGATGATGGGAAAAAAAACCAGATTTTATAATTTGAAATTATCTTTTGAATTGCGGATATAAAGCTATATTTAGAGCTCACCATGAACCTTAGTATACATTGATGCAACTCAGAAAATGCAGATGATAGTTATAAATCATGGAAAAACATGGGAAGAGAAAAAGCATGAATCAAAGTGAATTATGTATGGAGTATGATAATCTTAAGGACATAAATTAGGCGAAGGCTCATGAGAATAAACACCACTGATAAATCTAGATATCAAAATAAATGCAGCGTTCAATACATTTACAATTATTAGAAAAAGAAAGCATGTTTACCAGAGAAGAGTACACAATTATAAAGGACAAGAGTATAGTTTAATGTGATGGCATACATGAGCACCAATGATCTCTAGATCAATTTTAGTTTTAGCTACTGCACCATGGTCTGAACTAATTACTCTCTGCAACGTTTGAATTCAAACAATGTCCAGAGTTTCAAGATAAAGAAAGCAAAGCAGAAAACAATAATGAACTATGCAAAGTTTGGATCAAAACAGGAGAAACACACTTGTCGGCACACTATACTGATTAGCATACACATGCCATGTACTTTTTCAAGTGTCAAAACATCATTGTTTTCTTGGTTTTGCGACTATAAAGAAAGAGAAGAAATCCATGCTAACCGGTGAAAAACAAGCTGCATAAAGGGTAACTTTTTAAAACAAGAAAAAATATAAATTTTTCCATCAAACTCTGAATGCTACACCATATGTTAAACCAGCCATCCCTTCCTCAGCAATGTGTCCCCATTCCCCTCCCCGTGTCTTCGCAAAAGGGAAACTAATTAGTAGAAAATTAAAGTCCAAGTCATATGCCAGGAACAATAAGTAAGAAAAACAAACTAGTAATTATTCAGTACAGGTTCAAGAAGTCACCTTGCCATCAGGTCCCGGTGATGTAGAAAATGTAGGATGGGGTTTTTTCATATCATCATCAGATGAACATTCGGAACATACAAAATGGTCTAGTTTCTTTGCTTCTTCAATAGTCATGCCCACACAGGCAGGATGATACCTACAAGAAACCTACAAAGATTGAAATATGTGCTCTATAAAACATATAGGGACATCAACAGATACAAAAATCCACAATATTCTTTGGCATTCATTACATTTAACACACTTTCACAATTAACACAAAAGTGATGTCAACAAAGTTATAGTTGATCCATGAATGCGCTAAAACTTGCATCCCCAAAATTACATTAATAGTGATATACAAAAAACCTCAAAGTATAATTTTCACCACTACCGTGAAGCCAATCAACAGAAGGAATAAGCCTCTGCATCATACAATTTATATATTCACTAACATATATATTGGAGAAAAAAAGCTATGGAACACACAGTCATGATAAACAATGGCCACAGATAAACACATGGAAGTTTCAGCCAGAGATAAAACTCATCTGTCATTGAATTTTTAACTGAATACCACCCAATCAAATGAACAATCCTTTATATATTGACTCTTTCTATTTTATTAGCTTCTTTTTTTATCATACAACCAAGATGCTTTTTCAAGACAAACACACAAAAAGCTAGCATAGGCCAAAATATAGTTGCAACAACCCAAACTTAAGCATTATTTAACATTATTGGACCAAGGGAAAAATCTTTCATTTCCCACGATCTTCTTGGTGTCCCAACCATCCCCCTTCTCATTTTACTACCAAAATTTGAACTTATAACTCTCTTAACACCCTTTTGGCCACTAATTTTGCACGTGCTGTAATCATATAATCCTTCCAACCAGTAAATAACACCCAACACTAAAATTCCACATATAATAACTAGAAGCCTAAAAAATACCAAATCCGAACTCCAAACACAATAATAGCAAACAAAGTAAAGCTGAATACACTGATTTTACCAGTCCTTGCACCCTTCACATTGTACCATAAGGTCATCCGGGTTATAAGGCATCTCACACTTGCAATACCTTCAAAACACAAACCAAGAAAAAGCCCATTAGTCTTAAAACCCTAAACCCCCAACCTCACAATCAATAAACCAAAAATCCATATTGAAAAATAGTAGAATAATTTTCAGCCCGTCAAAATATCTCAAAATTCCATTATACTCCCTATAAAATTGTAACTCATTTTTTTTATCTCTACATTTACTGAAAGTAATACGGTTTTAGTCCTTCACCATAAACCATAAAAACACGTGTTTCTGGTAAAATGTAAGGACTGAAAACATATTAAATTATGATATTTCGAGATATTTTGACGGGCCAAAACACATTAGAAAGGAACTCACACAGCAACACGGTCAGGGGTGAAAGCCCCAGTAGCAGCCTTGTACTCAAATCTACAATAGTAATCCTCAGCACCCACATTCTCAAGCTTAGTGTAGTTCTTGAAAGAGTGCACTACACACTTCCCTTCAATGGTGTGAGCACTCTGCACATCATAGTGGTCAGACAGAAAAAGTTCCTTAGCCCCATGAAACTGCCTTCGACCCCCAATCGACTCTTCAGGCCTATAGTACCACCTCACACGCACCTTCACGTTGTTCCTGTTGTCCTGCTCGATCTTCTCCACGCGCGCCACGTAAGGAGGCTTCGTAGTGTCCTGGGGCCGCATCAAAACGCAGTCACCAGCTGCACAAAACGCAAACTTTAACAACCCCAACTCAAAACCACATCATGGGCAGCCACGAAAACGGGAAAAGGAACCGTTTTTGACTTGAAAACGGAAGTGGGTAGGGGAAAAATGAAAAGGGTGGGTGTTGGTTACCTCGCACGATCTTGTTGGTTCCTCTTATGGTGTAGGAGTCCAAGTCCTTTCTTCCTGGCCTCGTTTTCGCCATGGGGATCGCGAGGAAGAAGGGTGTTTGGGGGAATGTGAATTTTCTGAGGTGTTGTTGGGTTGGAAGAAGATGAAGAAGCAGAAGAAGAACAGAGGAACCCTAGGTTGTAGGACTATGGGGTGTGTGGGGAGAGTAAAACTTATAAGGACACTAACCCAAAACTAAGGTGTTAAACACAACCAATTAAAAGGTGACACCACATCAAAATTTTGAAATATTACAAAGAAAAAAAAAATTTTAAATCAACCAGCTTTCTCTGTTTTGTCTTCTAGTATAGCTGGTACCCCAAGTCTCCAACCGAGTCATCCTTTACCCACTACTGTTACCGTTTGTGTATAACTCCATTTCTCACTTTCTTCTTCTTCTTCTTTTTTTTTTTTTTTTTTTTTTTTTTTTTTTTTTTTTTTTTTTCTCCTCTTCCTACTCGAGTTACCGTGTCTCTCTCGCGCCAACGTTGTCCTCACCCTTTCTCACTTAGGTCGGAGAAATACTAGGAACAAATTGTCGGAAACAATATTTTTAATTCGTTAAAATTTATTAAAAACATGAAAATTAGAGACTATATATTTTGTTTTATTTTCTTTAAGTTTATGAAGATGATTTAGATAATATTTTAAAATTGATTATACGTAATTTTTATTTGACAAAATATTATTGTAACCCAATTTTATATCTTATTTAAGATTTAAATATATTTTTATTTCTTAAATTTAAAGTAAAATTATTTTTATTTTTAAATTTAAAATTAATATTTTTAAATTAAAAAATATATATTTTAATTTTT